TAACCTGCCACCTGCCAGGTGTGTGCCCTTGAGCAGGAATGGAACCCAAGACCCTTCAGGGCCTCACTGGGCTTCTCATTGGCCCATATGGGGGCTGCTCAGAGTTCAAGCCGGCAGAACCCATGGGGGGGGGGCAGGGGGGGCTGCTACCCTGGCCTTCCTGGGCTTGTGTGTCCCTGTGAACGGGAGGGGGGCCACGCCGCCACCTGATGTCCCTGCGGTTGGGACAGCCTTCTCGGGGGAGCTGGTCTCCCCTCGGTGCTTCGCGCCCCCTGGAGGGCGGAGGAGGGACGGCGTGGTGGGAACTTCTGGGCTGCCTGCTGGGAAGGTCTGTCTGGGGATCAAGTGCTGTTTGCACTGAACTCCTCTCCGTTTTTAAAAACACAGGCGTGTTTCTATGCTGTCCTCTGAGCCTCAGCTCTGCGGGTGGCGCTGTGTGAACTCGCTGCCCTGCAGGAGGCTCGGCCAGCGGGTGGCCCCAGGGAGTTTGGGGAGCTGTGGCCGGGCTGTGGCTTTCTGTGCTGAGCCTGCCCCCCCATCCCGCCCCCCCATCTGTGCAGCGGGCCTCTCAGCACACCCCGTAGGGAGGGGCTCAGACCAGCTAACAGGGACGATAATGGTCAACGCGGAGCACTTTTCCCACACTGCGTGTTTCCCTTTTTTAAAATATATTTTTATTGACTTCAGAGAGAGGAAGGGAGAGCGAGAGAGAGGTGGGGGAGGGAGAGAAACATCAATGATGAGAGAGAATCATGGATCGGCTGCCTCCTGCACGCCCCCCACTGGGGATTGAGCCCGAAACCCGGGCCTGTGCCCCGACCGGGAATCGATCCATGATCTTCATGGGTGGATGCTCACCCCCTGAGCCCGCCGGCCGGGCTGGCTGTGAGTTTTTAATTGAAAAAGATCTTGTCTGGTTGCCAGGCGGCTCCCTGCCAGGAAATGCCCACCCCCCCAGCCCGCACCACGGCGTCGTTGCTAAAGCCCTCCTGCCCTCCAGCGTCCAACCGGGTGTCCGACCGCGTCCGCACCCACGGATAATGCCGTGAGGAGACCTCTCACCGGCTCCATCTCCCTTATTTCCAGGCAAACCAGGAAGATCGCGCCCGTGGTCCTGCCGCTGGTGTGGTTTGAGGAGGTAAGGCCGCCCGGCGGTCCCTGCGCTGGGCTCCTCAAGAGCGGCGGCATCTGGTGCCACAGTGGGGAGGCCGTGCGGGCACTTGAGGCTGGAGGGGGGTGGGGCCAGGGAGCCACGGTGGGACCTAGAACAATCCAGAGAAACCTCGCGCGTCACAGACAGGAACTTCCCCCAAACGGTGCAGCCCGAGCCCCAGGGCAGGGTACTTTCTGAAAGTACCGTGACTGCTTTCAGGGCGTCAGCTCCGCGTGGGAACTTCTTTCCTCCCGGCTTCTCGGGGCTCCTCTGGCCTCGCTCGTTTTGTGAGAAGGGAAGACGAGAGGGCAACGCTGAGTTGTTCCATCCATTGGTTGATTCTCTATGTGCCCCCTGACCAGGGATCGAACCCGCAACCTTGGTGTATCGGGATGACAATCTAACGGAGCTACCCTGCCCAGGGCCTGGCCCAGTTCATTTTTTTTTTTTTAATATATTTTATTGATTTTTTACAGAGAGGAAGGGAGAGGGATAGAGTTAGAAACATTGATGAGAGAGAAACATCGATCAGCTGCCTCCTGCACACCTCCTACTGGGGATGTGCCCGCAACCAAGGTACATGCCCTTGACCGGAATCGAACCCGGGACCCTTGAGTCCGCAGGCCGACGCTCTACCGCTGAGCCAAACTGGTTAGGGCTGGCCCAATTCACTGTAATCCTCACTCGAGAATATGTTTTTCCATTGATTTTTTTTTGAGAGAGAGAGTGGAAGGGAGGGAGGGGGAAAGAGAGAGAGAAACATTGGTGAAAGAGAGACACGGCACCTTCTGCACATGCCCCGACCAGGGCTGGGATCAAACCTGCGACCCCGGTACACACCCTTGACCAGGAATCAAACCCGTGACCCTTTGGTCCAGGAATCGAACCCTCTAACCACTGAGCCACATGGACCAGGGCCTGGCCTAGTTCATTTTAAACCAGGGTGATCTCCTGCCCAGCCGGCGGGGCTCAGTGGTTGAGCATCAGCCCATGAACCAGGAGGTCACTGTTCGATTCCCGGTCAGAGCACAGGCCCGGGTTGCGGGCTCAATACCCAGTAGGGGGCGAGCAGGAGGCAGCCGATCCATGATCCTCTCATCATTGGTGTTTTTCTCTCTCTCCCTCTCCCTTCCTCTCTGAAATCAATAAAAATATATTAAAAAACAAAACAAAAAAACCTAGAGTGAACTCGGGGCCAGAACAGGCAGCCTCAGAATGTCAAGTTCACGGCCCCGTCTGATACGGGCCAGCCATTCCCGCCGGCCAGGCTCCTCCCGTCCTGGGCCCACCCTCCTGGAGACCCTCCGAATCCACCCGAGTTCAGTGGGTGGGGATAGTGATGGAGAGGTTTTCACCAGCCAGGCGTGGAAGTTCTCGCATCACCGTGCCCTCGTCCCATTGGCCAGAATGCGGTCACGTGACCCTGCCAACCGCAAGGGAGCCTGGGAAATGTAGTCTCTCCGTGTGGCCCTGGAAGACCTGGAGGGCCCTGCAGGCTTGAGATGGGGAAGGGGCCTGGGGGACAGGGATGGGTGTGGCCCCAGCCCACGTGTTTGTCGTTCTCCCTCCGCAGAGGGGGGCCATGGAGGGCGAGCCCCTGCAGAAGTTCTACCTGCAGCTGGTGCTGCTGCCCAAGGTGCTGCAGTACGCCCAGTACGTGCTCCTGGCCCTGGGCGGCCTCCTGCTGCTCGTCCCCGTCATCTACCAGATCCGGAGCCAAGTAAGTGGC